AGCCTTAGTAGTGGTGCAGAGATCAATTCTGTTGTGAGAAATGCACCAAAGCAACTGAGAAAAACTGTAATAGGGAACCTGATTCCAATTTCCTCTCTGTGCGACATGACAAACAGACTGGTTACACTGATACCTTGTATTCTTGCTCATCCTGCAAGGCGTAGGTATTGTTACAGAATGACTCAATATCAGATTCTGAATAACATTGGGAAAGATATGTTTTCATTCAGATTTTAATGCTTTTTGTTTTGCTGTTTATAACTTGAAAAACGTCACGTGTGATGTCAAAAAGGTTACAGTAACTCAAACTGCTTTGGTGTTGAGTATTCTAGCATACGAACCTAAATTAAAATAACAATGCTTGTAACGATGAAAGTAAATGGGTGGCTGGCATTCTGTCTGACGCGTTCCATGGCCGTTTGAGTTGTGGTGTCTGGGATAGGCTCCAGGTTTCCTTGAGACTCTGCTATTGGATGGATGTAGATACACAAACCACATGTTATGTACATCCATGAATGTGTGAAAGCACAGGTCACGTGACAGCTGCACTGTGTGTCTTCATCCTCCTCCCCCCCAATGCTTACCATCATGTGTTTTTGTGTCTGAAATGGGGAATTCCCCAGTCATGACAGGCTTAATCCTTCTAAGCCAAAAAAACTGTTTTTACTGTCCAACAGCATTTTTCTGCAATGTGTTACAATAAAATAAAACTCATTCAGATTGATTAATGAAAAAGCATGGTATAAACTAATCAACCATTTTTATATCTGATTATAGAGTTTATCGGTTGTTTTCCATTTTGTGAAGAGTGCTGGAAACTGACACCTTCAGAAGGCATTTTGGATCCACCCTCGGTGTGATGGCAACACCTCTGTAGCCTAGAGGCAGCGTCAGTAAATATTCTTGAAAATGACAACACACAGAAATGCACAGATTGCTCAAAAGGCCGGCCTCATGCTCCGCCCCGGTCCTACTGTAATGGACTACAAAGAAATAACAGAGGTAAACAGATCCAGGTAAAATGTAGACACGTCTTTGTTTCTCTATTCTCATGGCTTTACTAATATAAAGTCGTTTGCAATTGCAAATTATATGACATTAATATAACAGGGCCATTAAGTGCACTTAATACAAATTATCAATAGATTGTGCAGTATCATGAAAAGCAAATGATTTTCTTTTTCCACTTCACCTTGATAGAGTAATCACTTCGAACAATGACCTGCACATTGCTTCCTCTGCCTTTGTCCAAACCGCAGGTACAGGTCTCCTGCCCTCAATCTCACGCTTCTTGCTGGGCAAACAGCTCTTTGCGGTGGCCGACATCCAAAGAGGAGGAGTCATCATCCTTCAGCACCATAAACGAGTCTATAGTCTCCACCTTCATGAATAGTGTCATTTTTTTCGAGGAACCGAGCAGAGGTATACATTTGTACTCTTTTCCTACTGTCCGTATCTGTCTTCTGCTAAGTCTGAAGATCAATCTTCAATATTTCTGGGTATGTAGTAACCTTCAGCTGTACAGGCAGAGCGGAAAAGTGTGAGTGTAAAAATGCATTGTAGCGGAAAGTAATATTGCATAATAAAAACAGACAGATAATGACTATCAAGTAAATGAAAATAACTCTTGGCGGGCATCTTGTGAAATCTGCATGGTAAGGTACAAAGGTCTGTTTAGCTTTTTTGGATAAAGATAGTTACACAACGAAAGACAGTTCATGAAGGTGTGCTTACTGAAGCGCCGGCTGGACACTTACACCTCATGCACAGCTGGCGGCATTTTAATGCTAAACAAGCAGGAGCCAAGTTAATAGTTAAAGTCACTTGGCAGTATTAATGTTTTCGTTCAGAGAAGCGTGGACTGTTGCTCCTGGGGGGCTGTGCAGGACCCTGCACTCTGTTGCGCGCCGCCGGCCACTCCGCGTGCCCGCGATGCCGGTCCCAGCTCCGCTGTCACTCTCCTTTGGCAGGGCTCCTTGGTGGCTGTCCGCGACACGCCGATCGATCAGCTGTAAGATGTCCGAGAACGGCGTGGCGTCCCGCCGGGGGAAGGTGCTCACCTTAGACACGATGAACCCACGAATTAAGAGGGTTGAATATGCCGTGAGGGGTCCCATTGTGCAACGGGCGGTGCAGATCGAGAAGGAGCTGAAGGAGGTACTGATCTTCATTTGACTGTTTATTTATTAAATCCTGATAATTCCCGCCAATGAAAAAGTGCATATGGATATGGTTGATATAAATCCGGGTTTGAACTATTACAGGATTTTGGTATGAGAACAGGTTAGTCATAAGACTAACGAATGTTTATTTTTTATTTTATTGAAAAAAAAAAAGTTTCAAAAATCCAGCATGACCCATGCCAGTAAGTGCCAGGCTGGAGAGCTCATTGGATATTGCATGGCACTTACCGTGGGCAATTTAGAAACATCAATTTGTCTATGGGAGGCAAGGTTGCCAACTCTGGTCAGCTTGCTGGAGTGAGATTTTCAGTTTCTAAGTCTGTACACATAGGCAGACGCATTTACATGCATGTTACAGTTTTATTACCTTACAAATGGTCTGTAGGATTTGCAAACTACCCCAATGGTTTTGATGCAGCTAATATTAGGTTTATATTGGAATAATATAAATTTGCTGTAAAACTTCTGGCATGAGTGAGAGAGTCCGAAAGTGTGTGTGTCACGGCAGATGCGTGAGATTTGGCCCCCCTGGGGAGGTGTCCAGGTAAAACACACAAGCACACAGGTAAGGAGGAAGAATGTGCAAAACCTATGTAAACAGAGCTGGGGGCAGGAATTGAATCCACCTGTGTCATCCTCAAAAAGTACAGTCGTCCCTTCCACATCGCGGGGATCAGGGGCACGGCCCCCAGCGATATGGAAAAACCGCGTAAACTTTTTCGGTGAGCGAAATAAAGCATTTCTGATTTTAGTACACTTTAGTGCAAAATACAAAAATCACTGCAAGATACCACGCCAGAGGCTGCTGTAAACACGCCTGGCATCCCCCTGACCAGCACTCTACAAATATCTTATGCATTTGTGAGTTACTAAACTTTTTGTGTGTCGTCTGCTGGCCTTGGCATGTTGTCTGGGGCTTTTGCAAAACTCTCACCAAATATGGAAAGCGCGGTGGGGAAAGTCACGATGCAGGGTTACGCCGACATGCTGTATGTGGGCTGATATATAGAAATGGGTCTGTTTAGGTGCCATTCAGGTAATTGTCAGTCGCTCTATTTATGATATATAACTGCTTCTGTAGTGTAGTGTCCTTCTGCTGGTAAGTTACAAGGATGAACACATTCATATGGGTTATTTTTAATGCTTCCTTTAAACGTTCCTTCCATTTCACGGTGTTTTAAAACCACAGTGTGTACAAAAATGTCAACAGCAATGGATTCATGACTAATGGGATGTCTGGACCTGGGAAAGGGGTAAATCTTGATTCTAATTTTATGTGTGAGTTTTACAAAAGGGCTAACCCAAGAACATTCCTATCTCACAAAATTGGCTAAACATACACCGTAACACTTACGATTATTGAAAAATGATGTTGACTTTGGGTCTAATGTATAATCATATCTCTGTCGGTATAGTAAGAGTTATTTGGTTACATTTGTTTGACTGCTATAGTGTTGTAAAGAATTCCGGATTGATACTACGGTCACCACCCTCCTTGTATATAGTATATAGTATATAGAATAGTGTAAGTACTATAAGCAAGTAAAAGTTGCATCGTCAATCACAAGTTGTCTTGTGATACTAATGAGTTGTGTAGCAAGAGCCACATAAACAGTTGTGTCTTGTTTGATTCTTGTGCTTAGGTTGGCAAAACCTATGTTAGTGTCTTGGAAGCAGTACAGGAGATGGATATCAATTTTGGTCATTTTGTGCATATTGTGGGCTTCTTCAGAAGACAACACTCTTCGCTTGAATTGCTACACACTTTGCAGGGCTAATTTCAAGGTGACTGCAAGCTGGCCTTCTGCTCCATCATGGTTGTTTCTTGTTCCATTATGAGTCTGAAGGTCACGTGCTCCACTGCTTTTACCACTTTATCAACTATGAGTCGTTGCACCAGGTCCACAGAATTTTATTCCCCCCAGTAAACCTCATTAAGGAGGAACTCTGAGCACCCAGGCTGTGTGACATTCCTCCCCAACACCATTACCTTTCTCTAGCATATCTGTGTATTAAAGCTGTGAAACGTCTCTTAAAAGGACTTTTGAATTTTTATGATAGAACAGAATTCTCATTTGAAGAAATTCAAATATTAATTATATAATTATACTGCAGGCCCTGGCCCATTGTCGCACAGTAGCCCAAAGCTATGTATGTTCCAAAGTTCTAACGCACAACTGCAGGAGTCAAGAGCCAAGATGTTCCACGTTTCTGTCCTTTTCTTACCGCCTCAAATGCTGTCTTCTGCTGCAAAGCCTGACATTCTGGAGTGAGAATAAGAGTCACGCTAACCTCAGACAAACTTTTGATGAGGGAAGCAACTTTTTGACTTTAGAACGCCGGATGATTGCGTCACACATTAAACTGTGGTTAGTATGAGTTACTGTTTGACAGCAGAGTCTCTTTAATTCAATGGAGATTCCAATATTTTACAGTGTTCAGCAGTAATCTGTAACCTATTCTGAACTTGCCATATGTTCTTCTTAGTTTTTGATACTGACCTCTCGGGCAGAAACGTGATTTTGTAATAGGAGAACTTTATTCGCTTGATTAGCTCTTCTGACATACCATACCAGATAGAAATATTAATCTTTAACTTCATAAGAAATTGTAATATAATGAGAATGGAAATGTCATGCATCAAATCTTCTTCCGGTTCAGTAATCAAAAGACTGGCTACCTAAACAGCAGCTTATTTCAACAGTTAAAACTTGACTAGCATAGAAAAAAAATACATCTGACGAAGCATTAATTAGTTGTTTATTGATCTTCACCTACACAGGATATTTCCCTAGACAGGACAAAATGCCTTTCTATTTAATATACAAATTCCTTTAGAAAAAATGTTTCTGATAACTTTAAAAAACATTTTAAATGCCCTGTACCCTGTACTGGTTGGAAGACGGCTTAATAGCAAAGATGACTGGGCTGTTCTGGGTGTCAATCCACCGTAATACCAAAGGTGAACTGTAATTGGATGCAAAATCTGAATCCAGAATCATCTATAGACTTACCTGTTCTGGGGTATGGAAAGGAGGTATATGTGAAATCCCATATCCCCCCTCCCGTTAATCTGGGGTGGAGGGTAGGGGGCTAGTTTTCATAAATCATGGAACCCTGCCAAAATATTACTTTCCGCACCAACGTTATACAAAACACCTTTGTATCGATCCATTCACAAAAAACACCTGAGCAGCATTCATTACAGGGAACAAAACTACTCCGGAAGACAGTGAGTTGGTCACTTTTGCTGAGTTCCAGAAATTTTGGGTTGACTGAACCACAGTGATGTGCCTGTGTTGTAATGATCAAACAGGAAGGGGTTTTTGCTCTTGTGATGAAACGCTGAAGCTGTCGAAATGTGACAGTTTTAGCTGGGAGGGAGAAGGAAGTGACAAGTCTGGGCGAAATATTCAAGAAGCCCTAGAAATTTCGCAAAAGTGAGCCATCTTTGACTGATTTTAATATTTAAATATCTGATATCTGTGAGTGATTATGGATTTGTCATTGTCCATAGGAATGGAACGCATGTCCTGCCTAATGAGTGAGTTAATATTGAAGATGGGGGTGGTTCCTCCCCAGCAGGCTTCTGCTCAACATTGCATAACATGGCAAAAGAGTTAAGTAAATATACCGGGATTGGCTGCACGTAGCCTCTCCCATTTAGAACTCTTCCCATTTCACTACGCAAAGTTAAACACGATACCTGCGTTTTCTATTTGCTCATGTTACGTGGCAAGGACAAAAGGCTTTCACACAGAATTTTCCACAAAGAAAGTGAGACCTCACCTTGAACTGAAGTACCACAGTGATGGCTGTTGTTTAATGTTTTGTCATTTTCAGAAATCACATCGCTGTTTTGTTTATGCATTTCATGCTAGTATGAAAGTCAACTGAAAGCTGAGGGTATTGCAAGATGTATAATGTATGAAAGAGCCTCTGTGGTTTAAGCCTCTCATCGTGGGCATCCCATATTCGCTCATGTACTAATATTACAAGTCATGCTATCTCCTGTTACTAATATTGTTTATACATTGGTGTGGAGGAGGGGAGCAGTACAGAGAAAGATAACAGTAATAGAAATAAGCATAAAAAGAGAGGGAGAGTCTGTGTGTCCAGCAGAGAACAGCGGGATCATTGTGAGAACATTAGCAACAATGGGAGAGGAAACAAGCTGGTGGCATAACATGTGAGGAAGGTTTATTTCTGATTACAGAGATGGGAATGAGCTGGGCATGAAGGAAGTAAATTATGGTAATGATCACAAGTGTACATATACATTCGCACGTGTGTGCGTGTGTGTGTGTGCGTGTGTGAGGACTTTGCATGTTCTACCTCTGTGTCCTCCTGCATTCTGTTATGTGAATTTCTTGTGATAGCATTCAGGCCCCCTCCCAACCTACTGTAATACTGGGTAGGTGCTTCGGAGATCCCTGAAGTTCTGTTCACTTAAAAAAATACAATAACAGTTAAAATGTATAAAAATTGTTTGAAAAATAATGAAGAGCACATAAAACCTATCTATACATGCTGAGTCGCATATCTAGCTGCATGCCTGACTGATAGCTTGTTGATTTAGTTCCATCTTATTCATTTTGTGGACAATAATGCGTCTTACAAATAAGCTGTACAGCAAACACATCCTTAGGTAATGAAACCTCATCCCGCTCCACATTTTTGCCTTTACCAGATTATGAAGCCTAAGGTGAAGTGTATATGGATTGTATCATTTATGTCATACAATACAGATGGAAAACAGGTTCTTGTGTAAATGTGTAGGATTTACTTATTGAGCCTGGACTGCCGTCAGCCCACTATTACAGCCTGCGGACTTATGAATCCCTCTGAAGCCTCACCAGCACAAAGACCAGTTCCATTCACACCAGCTCAATTCTCCCTTTACCAGACTAACAATAGAGAAGGAGCTCAATTGTCCATTGGGTCTCTTGTGTAACACAGCAATAGGGGACGAGAGAGAAGCTGAATTTAGGTGAAATTGCTTTTGGTCAGTGGTCAGGAAGGCTGCTGTGTCGGAACTTTTCCAAAGTAAGAATGTGCAGGAGTTGAAAACCTCTAAGCTTAGGCTTTGTACCCTTGAACTTTAGTGTTTGCATGTCAAACACACCCATCTTGTCCCCATTAGAGCAAAGTCCTAATGTCTTTGCATGGGGGTGTCCACTTCTCTGCTTTACTTGATTGGTTGAAAATGAATGATATTTTGGCGGCAGCCCAATTGATGTGCTCTGTAGACATCGATCATGTTTTTGAGGCAGAGATTTTTTGGTGAGCTACAAACATTCATGGCACTAATTTACGAATTACCATAACTATGAATTACTTGTCACAACTATTGTTTGATGAACTGGTCATCAATTCTGATACACATGTACTTTTGATAAAACTAAACGTACTAACAGGATATTCCATACTGCCTCCAGATATCACTATTTAAAAAATATTATGCTTTGTATGAAAGACAATTACACTTGTGTTGTACATTACCTTTCCATCATCAAGAAACATTCCTGCAACTCTTAGGGAAATAAGAATGTGGACGTAAGAATGTGGATGAACTTTTTATTTGCTTTACCTATTAACATGCTATAAGTATTCGTATGCAAACCAGGAATCTCTGAACATTTCAGCTTCACTCGTGACTGATCTTAGAATGCTGTCTTACCCTTTACCATGTGAGTTTGCGCTGAGTTCAACCAGGGACGACAAACCAAAACCCATTTACCATATATTTGTTATGTATTTTATAACCTACATATTGTTAATTTAACATTTTTGGCAACACTTTTCTAGGAATGCCACGTCTACAAGAATCTACACATTCATTACACATTATAATGCATTCATAAAGCATAAAAAACATGGCTATAAATACTTATCAAAAGGCATAAAACATTATAGCCATGTTTATTATGCATTATGAATGCTTTATGAAGCTCTCGTCTATAACGCACTATAGATACCTGCTATCCTTAATTCTTATGCCGACCATTATAATGCATTATGAAGGCATATCAGGGATCTACTCCCACCACTGTGGGAAAGTCCTGAGCAGCGTTTTAGGGCCAAAGTGTCTGTTCACATATTAAGTGAACAGGATATAAGATGGGAAAGATTTAGCCATTGTTCAGCTGTAAACTGAACAGGGTATAAGAACAGTTGCTCCAGGGACTGCCTGACCCTCCTATCTCAGTTGTCCATCACTTTGAATAAAAGCTTCTGCTAAATTAGAACACGTTAACATGAACCGTGCTTCTTATCCATCCCTGCGTTTGGGCCTGATAATAGTCCAATAGGCTATCCTTATATTGCTAGCATTCCATGCTAAGCAGCAGCATGAAAAAGTGACATGAAGCTAGCAGTCTCCGAACGAACACAAGTGTTTTATATACAAACAGGATGATTCACATGGCATCGTACCCCATACATTCCAGGGTGACCGCTGTGCGAGTGGAAGAGGCCAGACCCTCAGCCATTCTGCTGCATGTAAGACATCAACATGCTACGTAAACAGCAGAGGACAATTGAATCTGTCACCGATGAACAAGGGAAGAAAGGGAACGTAAAATGCTAGCCAGCCAGTGAGAAGACAGTAACCTGGTGCCATGCACCGGCTCTCCGGAAACAATGCAGAGGAAACAGAGTCCTGGTACCATATATTGATTGACTTAGGGAGGCAGTGATCTCATACTATATACCGATTGGTTAACAGATTTGTTTGTCTTCAGCATATATACAGTATATCCTCCTGAGACCCGACCTATTCATTTATGTCCATTGTAGTGGACATTGTATTTTTGCATTTAGTTTTTCACTGAAGTTAGGAAACATATTTATTCCTGTTGTGCACTAAAGAGGACATGCTGCGAAATTAAAAATAAAAATAAATTTGAAAAAATTTAATCGTAAGATGTCTTATTTCCTCCAAAGACAAATAACCTACAATTGAAGGACACTTTTTTCCTTGGGTCTCAGGAGGATACAGTATATATATATAATCATCAAACTGTTTGGTTTTCTGATATAACAGGCTGTGTGATTCGCCCTCACAGCAGGAAAAAGCCAGGCTTTTATTTCATGCTTCTGGACCCAGACAGGCCGTGGCTTAATGAATGTTAACCAGGCAGTCGCATGATCACGCTCACTAGGACGTCCCTATTATTTCATTAGGGGAAAAAAACACAGCTAGAGTTACTGTCCCAACAGGGAACATGAGGCAGGGAATGTTCCTCCTCTTACACCTATTACATCATTGACGTAGTTATCAGAACTGGGATCCCGGCATTTAAAGTAGAAACATTAAAAGCTCAATTCCAGTTCCTGAACCACCGGCCGTGTGAACCTGCTTACTGTCTAGCTAAACTGCATGTTAGAGTTGGATCGATACCAAAATATTGACTCTGATGCTGATACCAGCAGTGGGACCTCAATGTCAATATCAGATCAATACTATAAAACATTCATATTTCAATATCATATTCTTTTTAAAAAAAAAAAAAAAAAAAAAAAAAAAAAACAAGATTATTTATGAGTTAATCCAACAGCAGAAGCCTATAATATAGTTTAACAATAATATTTCTATATATTTAGTACTGTGGAAAAGTCTTAGAAGTCAAAGAAAATGTTTAAAGCTGTTTTTCTGGGTAGCAAGTGTATATTTGCTCGGAGATAAAAAAAAAAACAAAATTTATCATTAGAGATTAACAGGGACACAATAAAGATTAACAAGTATTTCTTCTGCTTGCCAAAAAGTTACTGATATCTTGTTAGATTAATTGATTCATTGATTAACGTAATTAGTTAAATCACTCAATGAGTTATTTGTTTGCCAAACATGGTGCGATAGTGCTGCAGTCAGAGTACACACTGGTGTATCGGATGGTTACTGCAAATACTGGGGTGACTTCAGGGGAGGTTTTAAAATGTAAAGTTAACACACAAACATTTAAACCTCATTCTCTTTGATTGCCTAAGTGCTATACATCTGATAAACATCCATACCCAAGAACAGCGCTGAGACATATTTAATGTTAAAGATAAACAATGTGTAGTAACTGGATATTGTACAGTATCATCTGTCAATGAGTATCATTTTGCAAATTCTGATTTCAAAGAAGTTACATCACATAGAGGACATACCGAATCTGCACTTTGGGGAGTGACATGGCCACGTCGCACTCATTTTATGTGTCTGTTTCATAAGAGATGGAAAATAGAAACAGCTGTTGCCGATTTCCTTCCTCTACTTGATAAATAGGGCAGCAGAAGTGACACATGGTGTTATTTTGACGTTAAACAGGACAAAAAGGGAGAACTGCAGCCCCGACTGCCGCAGAATGAAAGTGCAGGGGGCGACGCGTCCAACCTGGCCAAGGATCTGTCTCGCTCACCCTGATTTAACATAAGGAGTTTAAAGATCGTCAGTGGTGCATGATAACAGCAATAATATGTGATAGTGATGTAATTTAGCGGTTGTTACTGAACCTGCATGCGAGTTCATTCACATCCGTTTCGGCAGTGAGGGAAAGTGGGCGGGGCTAAATGACGGACAGGACACAGAATTATAGCCCCAATGTTACTGTATTATCAGTGAGGTTTTATAACAGCTGAGGCCAAATTAATATCATAATCTTTGCAATGAATGCAGTTTAAATTAATCTATTGCATTTTTCACAGATAAAGTTAAAGGAGTATTGTGGACAGCACAGATGGTATAAAAACATAAGAATGTTTTGTCAAGTAGCGATACAGTCTGGGCCTGTTATTTTACTTGTTCATCTGGAAACACAGTTGACCTTCTGACCTGCCTGTGAGCTATTAGGCTGGGGTAATTTTCCAAGAGTAATTTGGGCCAGATTACTTAATGGCCGTAATCAAATAATGGGTGACAGATTTGGAGTAATGCCACGGAATGTCACAGCTCTTCTTGCCTTCACTTTTAGGGTGCAAAGAAGCCCTTCACTGAAGTCATCAAGGCAAACATTGGTGACGCACATGCCATGGGCCAGCAACCAATCACCTTCTTCCGACAGGTCTGCTTATTCCTCTCAGCTGCAGTCCTCAATCAGCAATGCAATCAATACATGTTCTGCTTTTTATGGTTTTCTTTTTATTTCTTTGCTAGGTCATGGCACTGTGCGCCTATCCAGAACTCTTAAACAGCTCCCAGTTTCCAGAGGACGCCAAAAATCGGGCAAAAACGATTCTTCAGTCCTGTGGAGGGGGTAGTATAGGTGAGAGAGCTATGTAGCTATGAAATATAAAAAGTAGCAACTGAAAAATTAGTAGCTATGTATTATTCAGCAGAACAGTGACTCAACACCTCCCTTCAGTTTTCCCGTTTAAGTTTAAAGTGCAGGTCAAAGTCTCATGTGACGTTGGTTTATTTTCAGGAGAGTTAGGGTTATGTATGTGTAAAATGTTTATGTTTCCTAGCTTATAAGGTCAACCTGATAATGTGTAACGTTTCATGAGTTGATTCAATGCAATTCGGTTTTGTTTGTAAGGCACCTTTCCCATTATACCAGTGCTTGATAGTAATTTAACATAAACATAATAGATTTACAGTTAACTGCTATCTGAAACGTTTTATGAAAATTCAAATGGAAAAAGTCGGAAGATAAGTAAATTGCTATAATAGAATTGTTTTAGTTGTAAGGCTTTTCCACTGCCACCAAGAACCGAGCCATACCCAAATAGTACCACGAAAAAAAGTATGAGAGCCGTATCTGGTTCGTACCCACGCTAACATGACATGACATGAGGTGTCACTGGGGAGATGAAATGCCAGTGAGGTGTCACTGGGGAGATGACATGCCAGTGAGGTGTCACTGGGGAGATGACATGCCAGTGAGGTGTCATTGGTATATTGTATCTTAAAGAATTAAGTAAAGGAAACTGCAAATCAGGGTAGGGTGACTTAGACTAAAATAATCTGCATTCCATTTATTTTATTGATCCACTGGGAAATTCTTTTACATATAGCAGCGAGGTGCATAAAATGCAGAGATGAGGCCTATTCAATGTGCAATATTAATATCAATATTGTGTGTTATGAGTGAGAAGGAGAAAAGCGAACTGGTCACCATAGAAGATCTGTCATCTGCTGCATGGAAATATTTTGGATTCCACAGAGATGATACTGAGCAAAAACAAGTGATTTGTCAGCACTGCTTTGTGTCTGTTGGCAACACCACCAACCTATTTGAAGAAATGCATCCATTCATTTCATTGCACATTCTGAACCGAAAATGAGATACACTACGAGACACACAACGAATGTGCGTTTCATTACAGCCTTACACAGGAAGTAGGGATCATCCCGTGCAAACCTGCCCCACACCTTTCCTCTTCCTGCCGTCCCCCACTGACAAGCGTAACAACAGCAAGTTAGCATAAAATTCAGCAAAATACTCCAGTTGTAATTTGCTGGTTTTCTTGGGACTAAACCAGGGCTATTTATATCACGGTCCTCAAGGTCTGAGCACTGCTGATTTTCCAGCCTTACTCTACCTGTGTCCCAGATGTGAAGCCTCCAGCCAATCGGAATCAGCAATTATAAAACAAACTACCTGTAAGAACTGAAACTTACAAACTCTTCCACACACTAAGAATCTTTTCTCATGTGCAATAACAGATTACACAATGGACCCTATTCATGTGCAATAAAAGTGAATATTTGAAAAATCAGAAGTGGGACTGGTTATCGTGTCCAAGTGTTCCACATAGCCAGAAAATTCAGTCCATAACCAATATAGTCTTGTCTAATATTGCTTGTGCTGGAAATAAAACAACTTGCCAGATCTTATTCACGTCGTGTTTTTTGTTTAATTCTGTGGAAGGCAAAAGATTGATCATCTTTCCAGATTTAATAATAAGTTCTAAACATGTTGCAGGTTGAATAGATAAAATTTTGTGGCGCTCGAGTGGGGAAAAGATCATGAGTTGGACAGTAAAGTTAAATTTTTAGCAGACATTTTTATTGTGGATCCTTAAAAGGACAGCAGTAAAAAAACTCACACACACAGACTGGGGAGACATGCAGCCTTTAAAGAGACAAAAGTGGATACAGGCAATAGAGACAGAGGGCAATGAGTCATACTCTGAAAACTGAGACTTTTGTCTCCTTAAAGCTTTTTTTTTTTTTCGGTCCGGCAGCTTATAAAAAATTAAAATCCAAAACAGATAAAAATAAATTCAAAAAAGGAAATTCATATAGACCTTTACTGTATTGTTATTTCTGTATTTTTTTTAAACTAGTCGAAATGTGGGCATGTTCTCAAAAAGTACCAAGCGAGAACCGGCCCAGCACCAGCACCGACTCCATGTTGGTGGAAACGAGGTACCTTTCAGGGAGGGCACTTTGAGCTACTTCAGGTTTTACAAACTACTTTCAAACTGAAACGCTCCTGTGCTCGGCTACATAGTTCAGTTATTCTTGTGCTTTGACTGGTCTGTTTCCTTGATTGAAAGACTCATCCAGCTGTTTCACATTAACATTAGTGACATGCATGATTATAGGAGACTGACCAATCAGCACACAGCAAGATCTTGGTGCTTAAGTGAAATCCAGGTCCTTTTTATTTGAAATGGTAGTTTAAAAATCGTGTCCTAGCTCAAAGTGTCCTGCCTGACACGGATGATCTGATCACCCTCTCAGGGGCCTACAGTGCCAGTCAGGGTATTGAATATGTGCGGCAGGACGTTGCACGTTACATCGAGAAGCGAGACAATGGCATCCCCTCCAACCCCGACAACATCTACCTATCCACAGGAGCCAGCGACGCCATCGTGGTATGATGAACTTATCTCTTCACCTCCTCTTACCCTGTCGGTGTGATGTGTGCGTAGATTTCCTTGCGCTATAATCTTGGGCTTTCTGCCTGTTTTTCAAACTGATGGCTCGTTATTTATTGTTTAAGGAACCCTGTAGTCCAACAATGCAGAACATTCAAATGATTTTGTGCCGGTTGATTACTGCTGATAAAAGCCCCCCTCCCCCCCACCTCCCACTGGCAGACCACCCTGAAGCTGTTGATGTGCGGCGAGGGCATGAGCCGCACAGGTGTGATGATCCCCATCCCCCAGTACCCTCTCTACTCAGCGGCACTGGCAGAGCTGGGTGCCGTCCAGGTCGACTACTACCTGAACGAGGAGCGATGCTGGAGCCTGGACGTCAGCGAGCTGCGCCGCTCTCTGGAGGCTGCCCGCAAGCACTGCAACCCCCGTGTCCTCTGCATCATCAACCCTGGCAATCCCACAGGTATTCCTCCACCCGCACTGTGTCACCCTTCCTCTAGCATCACTAACTGTATCATTCAGCGCATCCACCAGTCCATTCTCCACCACTTATCTGAGTCTAGGTCACGGGGGCAGCAGTCTGAGTAGAGTAGTTCCCTCTCCTCAGCCGCCTCGTCCAGCTCGTTCCCAGGGAAATAACACAAAGTTCCCAGGCCAGCTGAGCGATGTAGTCTCTCCACCATGTTCTAGGTCTGCCCTAGGATCTCCTCCTGATTGGACATGACCAAAGCATCTCTCCAGGGAGTCATCCAGGAGACACAGGTGTCTGAACCAATTTGGAAGAACAGTGGCTCTACTTTGTGCCAGTCCCAGATTTCTGAGATCTTTGCCCTAACCGAGCTCAGATGATCTGAGAAGGAATTTCCACTCCTTGTATATGTGATCGCATTCTTTCGGTCACTACCCTGAACATTTCACCATAGGTGATGGTAAGAATGTAGATTGACCAGTAAGTCGGTAGCTTCGCCTTCTGACTCAGCTCTCTGTTTACCACAACAGACTGGCACAATGTCCATATAACTGCTAATGCTGCATTATTTTAATTAAACTCCTCTGCTTGAGACAATGACTCATCTCCATCCTGAAGGAGACAGTCCAGACTTTTCAATTTGATTACCATGGCCTCAGTCTTGGAGGTGCTGATCCTCATCCCGACCGCTCCACACACACAAGTGCATGCTGGAGGTCACAGCTTGATGAGGCCAACAGGACCACATCATCTGCAAAAAGCAATGATGCAATCCTGAGGTCACTGAACTGGAGACTCTCCGCGCCTTGGCTGCACTTAGAAATTTTGTCTGTAAAAGTTATGAATTGGTTGAGTTTAACTTGACTGCTGGCAATACGAGCCAAGCTTTCACTCCAGTTGTACAGTGACCAAATGGCTCATAGCAGCCAACCAGGGACCCCATACTCCCAAAGCACCCTACGCAGGACCTTCCATGGGTCATGGTCATATGCCTTTTCAAAGTCCACAAAACACACATAGGCTGGTTGGGCAAACTTCCATGAACCTCCCAGTATCCTTGTGAGGGTAAAAAGCTGGTCCAGTGTTCCATGACAAAGATGATATCCGCATTGATCCTCCTGGATCCAAGATGTGACCAACAGATGGACCCTCCTGTCCAGTACTCTGGCATAGAACTTCCCAGGGAGGCTGATGAGTGTGATTCGTGAAGTTGGAAACACTCTCTAGTCCATATTCTGTCAATCCAGAGGCACTGTCCCCGACTTCCATGCAGTGTTGAAGAAGAATGTCAGCTGAGACAGCCAAACAACATCCAGAGCCATATCTTGTCTACTTGTGTCCCTTTTGCACTTTATGCTGTACAATATGTAGCATTTATGTGTAAATGTAGTATGTGAAGTAAACTGTCTGACCAAAAAAAGGTCACCATTTGAATTTATATCAGCAAATACTTAAGAGCCAATGACTGGATCATTATTACAGCTCGGCACCATTATACACCAATAAAGTAAAGTCAGCTGAGTACCTGAATCTACTGAATGACCAGGTTACACCTCCAACCATCATCAATGGATTTTTTTTCTTCCCTGTTGGCATGGGCATATTCCAGGAGAAGAATGCCAAGATTCATTGGGTTCGAATTGTCAAAGAGTGGTTCAGGGAGCATGTGGAATCATTTTCACGTATGACTTGGTCACCACAGAATTGTGACCTTAACCCCATCGAAGGGCTTTGGGATGTGCTGAAGGAGGCTTTATGGAGTGGTTCACTTGTCAATACAGGATCTCGGTGAGAAATTAATGCAAATCTGGATGAAAATAAAGGGTGAGATGTTGCATAAGCTTGTGGAAACAATGCCATAACAAATGTGCGCCATAATCAAAGCTAAAGGCAGTCCGACGAAAAATTCAAGTGAAGACTTTTTTTTATGGCCGGGCAGTATATTTTGTCGAATTAATGTGTAAATGTTAGTATGTCATAGTACTTCTGGAGAGCCAGATAGACCATCCATTCCCCTCTCCATATCAGTGGTGAAGAGGTAGAGAGGGTCAACAACATTAGACTCCTGGGAGTTCACACCAAGGACCTAACCTAGCCCTGTAACACCTCTCACCTGGTGTAGAAGGCTATACAGACTCATCTTAAGGAAACTCGAACAAGCCGGACTCCTCCCTCAGTTCCTGGTAAACTTTTATCACGACACCGCAAAGATCATCCTCTTCTACTGTGCCACGGTGTGATATGTTAGCTGCACCTCCAAAAACAGAGAAGACCTGGCCTGGGTGGCAAAAAAAATTTGGACACGGCGTTTGCAAACCACCTGCACAAGAAGGCTACCGACATCAACAAGGACCCAACCCACCCAGGACAGTCTGTTTGTCCCTTTGTCGTCAGGGAAGACATACAGAGCTACCAAAGTCCACGCTAACTTAAATTTGATCCAGAGATGTTATATTTATAATGGAGATATTTCATCCAGGGTGCATCTATGTGTATTGATGAGCTGACTATGAACATCTCTTGAATCTTGAATCTTGAACTCAAGGCAAATCTCATCCAATCCCTGAGCCTTACCATTGAAGAGTTTTTGACAGTGACCTATGCCCTTGTGATGAGCGAGTCCTCTGACTCTGCAACCTCCAAGGAAGGCGTATCACTAAGATTCAGGAGGTCCTCAAAGTGCTCCTTCCACCAACTGACTACATCACCTGTTGATGTCAACAGCACTCCATACCTGCTATAAACATCTTGGGCAAAGCTCTGCCTCCCCGTCCTGAATCATCTAACTGCTTTCCAAAATTCTTCAAAGTCATCTGAAAGTAATTTTCCATGGCCTCACTGAACTGTTCACATACCCAAGTTTTTGCTTCCACAAATACTAAATCTGCACTCTGCTTGATCTACTGCCTCCAGAGTCCCATAAGCCACTCAAACTCAGAAGGCCTTCTTCTGCCTCACGACTCCCTTTACTGCTGATGTCCACCACCAGATTGGGGGATTGCCACAGTGAAAGGCACTAACAACCTTATAGCCACAGCTCTGTATAGTTGCCATGGCAATGGATGCACAGAACATGACCTACTCAGATTCAATGTCTCTAACATCCTTGGGATTGCAAGAGAAGTTCTGCCAGAGAGGTGAGTTTAAGATCTTCCTCAAAGGGGCCTCTGCCAAATGCTCCCAGTACTTGCTGACTGTCTCTTTGGCTCTACCAGGTCTGTCTGCCATCTTACCGCACCATCTCATCCAATTCACCCCTCAGTGGGTCCCCCACAATAACATCCGCTGAATGCAGATCACTAATACATTATGCTAAATCATTCTTACTCTGTAGGAAACAAAACTTAAAAAGCTTTACAATTTTAATGATTGTTTCTTTTCACGGTCAACAAGTATATGTAAAAAAATCAGTGTAAAGCTTACCGACGCTGCGTTTTCACAAGCTCTGAATGCAAGACCCTTTACCCCAATTGCTCCAGAGATTGTTTGACCCTTTAAAGCAAACTGAAGTAAATAAAATTTAAATTAATAACTGAGGGGTATGTAGCCTTGGTCTTAGTGGATGAAACGTGTTGTTTACTTGTTGACTACATGAATCTGAAATATAGAATATCAACTGAAAGAAAAGTTTGTAATTTTATTAAATCATGGTTTAGGTCTTCTTTGCCCCTTTGAGATTGCATCTCTGATCTGTGATAGGTCAGGTCCAGAGCAGGGAGTGCATTGAGGAAGTGATCAGATTTGCTGCGCAGGAGCGGCTTTTCCTGATGGCCGATGAGGTAACGTGACACGCGGAACTGGCCGGCGTCCGAGCCTCCTCTGCTTCCCCCGCTGCCTCTTCCTCGACGTTTGGCTCCCCTCCCACCTTTACAGCCTCTCCTCTCTCTAGCCCTTTCTCACCCATTTCCTCTCACCCTCCCAGGTGTACCAGGACAACGTCTATGCCGACGGCTGCCAGTTTCACTCTTTCAAGAAGGTGCTGTTTGAGATGGGGCCGCAGTACTCAGACACGCTGGAGCTGGTCTCCTACCACTCAACCTCCAAATGCTACATGGGAGAGTGAGTGACAGGCAAGGGGACATGGCACTACACACAGAGATCAGCCTACAGAGACGCATGTACACACACATACAGAGCAGCCGTCACAGACACACACATACACACAGAGATCAGCCTACACAGTCCATGTATTCATATCTTTGAAGGGACTCTCCATTCATTTCTATGGGCATAACCTTAATCTGCCCGATGATTACCTTAACCCCTGCCCGGCCCTAACCTTAGCCAAAAGTAACCAAACAAAATTCAAGATAATTGGCATTTTTAGTTTTTTTTTTTTTTGCATTCACTGATTAGTTAGGTTATCCTTGTTGGGACCAAAAAAATGTCCCCAGAAAGTAAAAAGTCACCGGTTTTTATCATATTGTGGGGAAACCTAGATCCTATAATGCAACATGTGCAACACACATACTCACAAATAGGCCTCGCATGTACTTTCACAAACAGCCTCAGACACAGATTTGCGCTGAAATTAACAGATACACATACAGTGCATACACAGACAGGTCCATCTCTATGGCGTTAAATTAGTGCCAAAACTCACGCGTATAAAACCCATAATCTCTACGCTCTCGCGTTTGCACAGCACTCTCTCGCTCGCTCGGCGTTAAATTAGTGCCAAAGTCAAACCACGCGCGTGGAAACCCATCCTCTCTAAGCGCTCGCGTTCGCTGGACCCTATCTACGCACTCACGTCTGCACATGTAATGTCTCCGCTCCTTTGATTGTTTTTTTTGAATATTGACTACGATTGGCTATTTGCTTTGGTAGAAGATGAAGATAACCAATCAGTGACACGTAATCAAGCAATTCAGCTACGGTACATTTGCTTTGTCCGACGGTGCACTGCCTAAATCACACTTTACAACTTATTTATGGATTAATTTGTGTTATCAATTAACTGTCAATATGTATGAAATGGAGCAATGGCATGTCATATGGATACAATGTAATAATTAATAACTGTAAGACAGAAAGTGATCTTGAACGCCATACATCTCCATCATATCCCATATGCCTATGCGAGGTCTAAGATGTTTTGAGGTTTTGGGCGAATCTGAATGATGGCGTGGGGCACTGAGAGAAGCCTATGGCAGAATTTCACGTCCGTTTTCCACAGGTGTGGTTTCCGGGGAGGATATATGGAGGTGATCAACATGGATGCTGAGGTGAAGGCCCAGCTGACCAAGCTGGTGTCAGTGCGCCTCTGCCCCCCTGTTCCCGGGCAGGTCATGATGGACCTGGTGGCAAACACCCCCCAGCCTGGAGATCCATCTCACTCCACTTTCATTAAGGTCAGCATCGTAGGAAGTATAATTATTGAATTGCATTAGTTACGTTATCGAGGGGCGGTGTGCGATTCGGTGAGATAGGATGCTGCGCTCGTCATCATACTTTTGCTTGTTCAAATCCTACAAGTAGCTGAGTGATTTCACTACTGCACCTTTAACCCAAATTGCTCCAGACACTGGCTGACCCACAGCGGAGGAAATTTCAGGTCCAGAAAATATAAATCCAGACCATGATTTTGTTTCAACCAACCAGTTGAGTACTCTGTGACAGTGACTCTTCATACTCAATTGGTTGGTTGAAACAAAATCCTGGTCTGGATTTTTACTTTCTGGACCTGAAATTTCCACCACTACTGACCCGTCGTTCTTGATTGTACTTCACATTGGATAAACACATCACTTCAATAAATTAAACATTCATACAAATGTTGTTTTTTATGTCATTCATATGTACAGCTCGGTATTTTGCTGAAGTGCTACAGTGTGCCTACTCTAACTAGCCGAACCAGTCAGCCCGATAATGAGTAATGTTTAACAGCCAATTAACAGATGGCAGTGTTGCTGGTGTTCACCTGGTGCATCTTCCCCACCCGCAGGAGAAGTCTGCTACTCTCAACACGCTGGCGGAGAGGGCCAGGCTGACGGAGGAGATCCTCAACACGGTGCCGGGGATTCAGTGTAACCCCGTACAGGGAGCCATGTACTCCTTTCCGCGGATCACTATCCCAGAGCGTGCCGTTCAGAAAGCCAAGGTCAGTGCACTGCACACGTGACATTTCCCCATATGTGTTTGTAATAGGTTCTCGCTTAAATTTAGGGCATGGAAATAATAACACGCTTTTACATTGTTTGACCTGTTTAGCCATATTGTGGCCTCGTATCAGAATGCCTGCTTGGATTTTAGTCACTTTTTAGTTAGAGACACTGACGTGACTCCAGAATGTAAAAGCACCACAAATTAAGCTATTAATACTTTCCAATTAATACCGCACCCTTAATTCTTTTGTACAGAGAGGCCACACATTTTATACATTTGCTATTCCAGAACAATCATTGTTGTCTATAGTTATAATGAGGTAGGTGGGCACAATGATGCTTTTATAATACTGATGGTGGGTGTTCTTATTTGATCTCATATACCTTTAGGAGAAAGGTCAAGCCCCAGATATGTTCTACTGCATGAACCTGCTGGAGGAAACAGGCATCTGTGTAGTCCCTGGAAGCGGATTCGGTCAGAAAGAAGGGACCTACCACTTCAGGTGCCCTCCAGCATGCCTGACTGACAGAGTGGTGAACTTTCAGTGTATATAGTGCCATAGAAATGTATTCACTTCCTGCAAATGTACATTTACTATTCAGCATTTATTGCAAAGGGAGATGCTAAAACATGCTAAAACTCAAATATGCTGCTTGCATGAGTATTTAGATGCTCTGGTAGTTGTAGGTGCAGAAATAAAACTGAAATAACAAGGAGACTTATTCACCTTACCACTGGCCAGTGCTTGTGTACCAGCGAAAAAATCCTGGCATATCCAGATACTGTCTTTCAAGCACTGAATCTAAAGGAAAATATGAAAAAGTAGACCAAAAATCATCCTAAAGAAGTTGGAGATGAAAGCATAGAGAAGGATATCTCAGTGAGTACTGTGAGTACAATAAGCATAGAGAAGGATATCTCAGTGAGTACTATGAGTACAATAAGCATAGAGAAGGATATCTCAGTGAGTATTGTTGGCTCAGTAATCAATAACTAGGTCCATCAATCCACCAAGACACTGTCTATAAAAGGCCATCCCTCAAAATTCACCATTCAGACAAGAAAGAGACCTCTGAGGGAAGCTGAGAGCCATACAGCCTCTCTGGAAAAGCCTCTCAGTTTGGTGCCAGATTGGAGTAAATATCCATCTATACCAAGAAGTCTGCATCACACTGGCCTATATGGGAGGGTGTCAAGTCAGAAAGCCTTACTTAAAAGCATTCAGCTCATTTGGCATTTGCTAGACAGCACCAAAGTTAAGATGTGGGAAAAGGTAAGTGCCCACTCAAGTCTGCCAGCAGCAAAAATATCCTCTAGAGGTGCTTCACATTAGCAGGGACTGTTCAGAATTGAAGAATTGATGGGTGACGGAAAAATACAATGATAAACTGCAAGGGGACTCAAGACAGAAGCTCAATAGGATGTTCGACTTTCAGAATGACAGTTATCCTAAGCAGAGAACCAAAGCAACACGGAAGTGCTCAGCAAGTAGCTGAATGTCCGAGAGCGGCCCAGTCAGAGCCATCCTTAATCCCATCAGAATCAGTGGCATGCATTGAAAACTGCAATCGTCACATGCTGTCCAAGAAACTTGCATGAGCTTGTGGAAATCTGTTGAGAGAAGTGGATGAATTTCACTCCCAACCAATGTCAAGCTGGTAAACACCTGCTCCAACACCTGCTCCAACAGACAGCAAGCTGTCATTGTGAAAAGGTGGTGCTACAAGTACCTAAAGTGTTGGGTCTGAATACTTATGCAAGCAGCATATTTCAGTTTTAGGCTTTTATTCTGATATTTATTGTCATTTATCTCAGTCTCAGTATCTCAAAGTAGCTCAGTGGATATGTCTAGGTTTGGGAGTTCAACTGCTGTCCTGCAAAGGCCCAGCATACTGTAATACTCCCATGAGTGTATTGTGTTACTTATGGTTAAGGTTAGGGCTGGGTAGGGGTTAGGGTTATTATAGTTGGGATTAGGGTAATTCCCATAGAAATGAATGCAGAGTCCCCAGAAGTTACCTAATGTGTGTGTGTGTGTGTGTGTGTGTGAGCGGGTATACCTTACCTTATGGGTGTCAATATCCCCACAACGTGATGAATACCCATTTTTTTCCCTTATGGGGACCATGCGTTAGCATTTTTCCCATAGAAATGAATGAGCGGTCCCCATAAAGATATGCTTTCCCGACATGCGTGTGTATATACATGTAACTGATGCACAGCACTTTTCCAATTAAAGAAGATGTCTCTTTCCAGAATGACCATCTTGCCTCCCACTGAGAAGCTGAAGATCCTACTGAATAAGCTGAAGGAGTTTCACCTGCGCTTCACGCAGCAGTACTCCTGAGCTTCCCAGCCAAGGGGAATCAATCATCTCCTCACCAAGTGCCTTCTGCGTCATGACTTCAATGGCCAATGTTTTGCACTTTGTTACACAGTGATTTCACTGTTCATTAGTAGTGTGTTCATCAGAGCAATTAGCTTGATTTGTTTTACAGAATTTACTGATATTTGTGTTGTCCACTTCAAATATCAAGGGCATTTTTAAATTTCTTAATGATCACATTTTATTGTCTTCTATGACTATACAAACACGGTTAGATATAATACCGTGTTTGTATGTCTGTGTATTGCAGTTTAACCAAAGTTAATCCTAAGGTTTGCATACTTGGAAATGCTGCTCCTTAAGTGTTCCTGTGCGCCAATACTGTTTAAATTGTTTAAATATACTTGCATACTTTATGACACCCCCAGTCTCTCACCCTGTCCAGTGTATGCCACCTTTCCCCTATCACTCATAAATCTCAGTATTTGATGTTGTCCCTGGGAAAAATACCTGTATACACAAAAAATACTTAATCAAGGTATCATGTGAGGAGGATTGACTCTTCCTTGCCCTGCGCCCGTAGTGTGCAGTGAAATTTACATGGAAATGTCACTAAAGCCATATATTGATTCATGTTAACGTTGGAAAAAAAACAAAACAAACATGAACTAATGGTAATTTTATCAATCATTTCTGGTAATACTGAAGGATCCACATTTTTCTGATTTGTATGATTTATTATGTTTACCTTTAGATTCATTTATTTGACAGAGTTATTTGACACTTTCCAAAGCCTACCTACAAGTAACACATACCTACCTACAAGTAACATCAGCTGTCACTAAGATGATGCAACAAAAAAGAGAGCGGCGAGGCCTGAGAAGGGTGGGGTCTGAGAGCGGCTGGGCATGGGAAGGGTGGGGCCTGAGAGTGGCTGGGCCTGGGAAGGGTGGGGCCTGAGAACGGCTGGGCCTGGGAAGGGTGGGGTCTGAGAGCGGCTGGGCATGGGAAGGGTGGGGCCTGGGAGTGGCTGGGCCTGGGAAGGATGGGTCCTGAGAGCGACTGGGCCTGAGAGCTGCTGGGCCTGGGAAGGATGGGACCTGACAGCGGCTGGGCTTGGGAAGGGTGGGGCCTTAGAGCGGCTGGGCCTGAGGGCGGCTGGGCTTGGGAAGGGTGGGGCCTGAGAAGGGTGGCTGTAGCCGTATACTTTTGTCCAGCCTTGAAGTTCAAAACAGAATACATTAAGAAAACACGAAACATTAAGGAAATGCAAAAAAAAAAAAAGAATTAAGAATCTTGTTTTATGTTTTATTAATCTTTTTGCACATGTCCAGTGTTTTGTGGTTTCCTTTTGTATGTGTTTTAAAATGTTTTCCATTTCCTTTTTTTTTAATAATTCAATCAGTACTAATCTCCCAGTGGGAAAAGGGGTTATGCAAACATTGCTTGCATCACAAATCCTGTACGCATGAAGATCACTCAAAGGCAGAAACCAGTTAGCAATTAAATCTAAAGTGCAATATAAAGAAATGATGAACACATTGTACTTCCAAGTTGACTGAGTTTGTGAGGGTTAGTGCTAGAGAATGAGGTTAGCTTGGCGAGCATATGTTGAGGTTTTCTTGAAAGAAATAAGTCTTAATCCATTTCTTGATGTCAGTCAGGGGTGTAGGTTTCATATTAACATTGTAGGGAATGGATATATTGAAGTCAGAGGTGTGACGTCACGTTGCATTATAGGGCGATTCTATAGTCACGCTGTATTAAGAAAAGTTGCTCTGCATAATTGTTTTTTTATTAATAAACTATTACTGTTACAGTGCGGGAATTATTAAAATTATGCATAAACCTAGTGATTCTGCCATAAATGTCAGGCCAAGAACTGTGCAAAAATTACGTCTATGATGTCCCTGTCACTCTCCTGCACCCTGTCTTCTCTTACAAACACTAGCAAACACAACACATAAAACAGCAACTAGGAGATCTTCTCCTAGAGACCCATAGAAGTAAATAAAGGGGATGTATTGAACCTCTTCTTAGTAATAACTGGGACTTTCTGTCGGCACTGTTCATAAACTGAATGATTCTGAGTTTCTGGCAACTTACTTTATGGTACTTTTCAAATAAATGCCAGGAGGGTGTTCCACAGCAGAGGATTTCCCAGTTAGCTGGATCACTTAAGCCAAACGTGAAACCTGTCAAATAGGAAGAGTGATGAGTGGCATTCCTATTGGACAATCTTTACATTAAGTTATTAATGTAAAGATCCTGCTTTGTGGAATACTCTCCAGGTCTGGCTCTGTTTTTTGACAGGCTTCTTACTTATTCTTATAACACAAACGCTATTTTCTTCTGCGTTGCTATTTGTGCTATGCTATTAACTCATCAAGCTAGTTCCAGTTTGCACAAGTAACAAGATACTCTTTATGAAAACAGATCGACGTGACACAATTAAATCCCACCATTTCAATCTTTTATTGATTAACTGATGATTATGATAAGAGGTATTCGATTAGTTAAGTTTACATGCAAAGCCATACTGTGCTTTTCCGCTCACTGCTTTCTATATCTGTTGTCTCTTGTGGCACCTTTCCACTGGCATACAGGAACCAACACATACCTGAGCCTTTCTGTGAAGAGAGATTAGTTATAGCACAGTTTGCGTCAGTTTTCCACTGCAGAATGGTTGGTTTGATAAAGGTGTAGAATGACAGTTGGAGAATGACAGTGACGTAAAACTGAAGAGATGTATATACAGTATGCAAAATTTTTGGCCGTTTTTTTCTCTCAGACTGAGAACCGACATTATGTATGGAGTTAGCATGGCTAACAGTCACGCATAGCATGTGTGAGGTTAGCATAGCTTACGGTCACGCACAGCATGTGTGGGGTTAGAACAGCTAACGCTCACGCACTGCACGTGTGGGGATAGCTTAGTTTACGCTCACGCACTGCATGTGTGGGGTTAGTTTAACTTATGCTCACGCACTGCATGTGTGGGGTTAGTATAGCTTTCTCTCACACACTGCATGTGTGGGGTTAGTTTAACTTATGCTCACGCACTGCATGTGTGGGGTTACCACAGCTAATGCTCACACCCATGCGAGCTAACTGACAGTTTTACCAGCAACACTGGTATTCCTATTCCTATTGGCTGGCTTCGCTTTCATCCTGAGGGGTTTATAACAATTCAGCTATGAGGCCCTTGTGTGGTTTCTGAACTATGATCACAAGGTTAGATAAATGTACTGTAGTTAAATTTGCCGAAATAAAATGCCTTATAGACTTTTCACTGCAGTGACGTCATGAAGTCAGATTAGGAAAATGGAACATTGGAATGTTTGGAAACACATGACTAGCATCCTGTCCTGCTTGTTCCCTGCCTTGTGCCCTATGCTGCCTGTGACCAAGACCCTGTATGAGATAAATGGTATGGAAGATGGGTGGATGGATGAACACAGGGGATTTAGGACACCAATGGGGTACATTGATCCGTCCTTCCAAGACAAAACAGGAAGTAGTTTGTGTGTCAGGTGTGCTGATGTTTCGAGGGTCTGCTACTGCCGTCCTGGTGCTGTTAATGGCCTTACCATAATTCTTAACTACAATGTAATGTTGGACAAAACAGTGCATGCAGACAGTCACTTGTCTTTAAAAAAGCACAGGCCATTTTATGTCAGGTAAAATTTCTATATAATAATATAAAGTCTCATTTAAATTAATGTAAATCAAACTTGATTAAGTATTCTGGCACCTTGACCATGCTTTTACTGTTACAGGAAGTTACCCACGTGTTAGGCCAGAAGAATATTCTGATCCAGGAGTAGCTTTCAAAGAACCATACTATCATGCAGCAGGACCAGAAGGGGGCAGTGTGGTCTCCTATGATCTGGTCTGGGCTCTTATTTCTATAGCTGCTTGCTTGGCCATGGTTTCGGTGTGTATGGAGGTTTTTGGGATAACCTGTAGGTCAGCTGTTCAAACGCAGGTGTGAGGACTCTTCAGCCAATCAGTCCTCTAATTAGTGACCTAATTAGGGAGTTGCAGCAAAAACCCGCATACACACCGGCCCTTTGCAGGTAAGATTGGACACCCCTGGTTCACAGTAAACACTTTCACCCACCTCTCCCAGGGACACAGCAGTGTGGGCTTTGTTACATCACAGCTTCTCGCTCAAGACCTGTTTTTGTGTGATGCCTTGACCAGCACTGTTTGCATTCCGTATAGTTGTTTTAAAGTGTATGACAATACATGCAAACAGCTTGTAATGTCTGTTTTATACAATGCATAGTCGGTCTACCTTCATGACACCTGAAGAGGTCAAATACTGAGGATCTCCAAAGTAGAGGATACTGCAATACCTCAGTAGAGACCAGCGCTGAGCTTTGGTCATTGTATGCTATCCATCCATCCATCCATCCATCATCTTCCGCTTGTCCGGGGTTCGGGTCGCGGGGGCAGCAGCTTCAACAGAGACACCCAGGCCTCCCTCTCCCCAGCTAACCCCACCAGCTCCTCGGGGGGGACACCGAGGCGTTCCCAGGCCAGCCGAGAGATATAATCCCTCCAGCGAGTCCTGGGCCTGCCCCGGGGCCTCCTCCCTGTAGGACATGCACGGAAAACCTCTCCGGGTAGCCGCTGTCCAAACCACCTCAACTGGCTCC